AATAAAATTAAAATTAAATTTGATTGATTTATACAGATATTTCAGATGCATATCTCATGAGAAACTCTTGTTAGTTTTTGTTAAATTAAGCAATTTATTTATTTATTTTTACATTACAAGTTACAAAAGCTTAACTTGCAGGGTACATTTGGTTTTTCTTTTCTTTTTATATTATTAACTGTTATTTTTAGTTTTACTGAACTTATTTTTAAAATAATATATATATTTTTTAAAATAATTTCTTTTTTTAATGTATAAATGAACCCATCACCTCCTTATATCTTTTTTAGAGTGATTTATCTAAGGATTTTGAATTAATTATTTACGAATACATACATATGTGCGCTTGTATGTACTGTTGAATCTAAATTTGTTCGGGAGGCACATCCAATGAATATAGCATATGAATCAAGGGAGGAGGAGATAGAGCGAGGGAGAGGAGTGCACAGTGACTTGCCCTTCTAGGGTAATTTGAGGTATTCTGAGGCTCTTATGACTTATTTTATATCATTGAAGGTTCGAGTTATAAAGAGGACATGATGTAAAATTACATGTTTTTCCCCTGCTTTGGAGGGGGTCGTATAGTGTATTCTAGTCTTTTTACATGTCTGAGCTTATTGCTTGGTAGCCACCGGATTAGTTGGCAAAAATGGCTTCAGTCGGCTCTTGATTGGGATATCCGTTCTTCTCTTGATCTAGATGGGCGGTTGGCTCTTGATCAATTATTGAACTTTGATCTCATTTGGTGGAGCTTTTAGGCTTGTTGTGTTAGTATGGTTAAGGCATTGGAGCTAGACTTTGGGCAGATCATTTTCTCATGACGATCGGTATGAATGCCTCTATCTCCTGTCTGAGTGGTTTTCGAGTTGGCAATCTTGCCTATTGTAACTTTGGCCATTTTGAGCCTTGAAGGCTCTTGACTCGGTTGGCTAACAACAAGTCAGACATGAGAGACCTTTTATTTTCCTCCAACGGACACTACATGTGTCCTTCTTAATCTAATCGTTAGATTATCTTGTGATTTCTGCTGACATATTTTTGATGCCTGCCTGTTCTTTAAAAGATCTCTGTCCATAATCCTCCATTTCTTACTACAAACAACCAATTAGATCGCTAGATTATCTTGTGATTTGTGCTGACATATTTTTGATGTCTGCCTGTTCTTTAAAAGATCTTTGTGCATAATCCTCCATTTCTTACTACAAACAACCAATTAAGTCTTAATAAGGTTTTTATTTAACGCTAATCATTATTACTTGTCCATATATTTACATGATATATAATACCAACGCATTCATATTTACATACATAACACTAATATTTGTAACATCACATCAAAAATATCACCATCATAAATTTATAACACTGGACAACGCAAAAATATGTAATATTTGAAAAAAAAAATCCACAGGAAATAAAAAGACTTTTATAACATTCTTCAATTGCGAAAAATCGAAATAATAGATGAGATTTGAATTTATTTTATTTTCAAAATTTTTATATTTTCCATATTTTAGATGGTATTTAGTTTTATTTCATGCTCTTAAATTTTGATCTTGCTTCTATTTATTTTTGGGACTTTTACATTTATACAACTTAAATTATACTTTTTAAAAATGATGTGTGTGTATTGATTTTAATGATTTGATGGAAGATTATGATATGAGCTTCGAGACACCCTCATGTGCCTAATCATTCGATCCCGTACTGCAAGGCAGATGCACTCGATAGGATCAAACCCGTGACCCTAATGGACTCAAGGTTGCACTACCAAAAATAACGACGAGCAACACACCGACTCGTTAATTTTGTCCGATAAGTTAATGAGCCAAATACGAACTAAGATGTGTTCGTTCATGTCCGGCTCGTTTTGGCTCGAAATGCTACTCATCAAGTTTATATATAAGTAGTATTTAGATGACAATCTCACAAGTAGTATTTAAAAAAAATCTAATTGACTACAAGGCTACAAACATTTATAATAAATTAAAATATTGATTAAGAAAATAGAATAAAAATTATTAAATTAAATTCAAATGATGTTTTAATATAAATAATAATTTTTAAATCTTGCTCAAACTCTTATTGTATTATGTCTTATGACTACATGATTACAAACATTTATAATAAATTAAAATATTGATTAAGAAAATAGAATGAAAATTATTAAATTAAATTCAAATGATGTTTTAATATAAATAATAATTTCTAAATCTTGCTCAAACTCTTATTGTCTTATGTCTTATGACTACATGATTAGAGTTGTTAAAATGACTCTTTGTTAAGCAAACGAGTCGAACACGAACACACTTTTTGAGCTCAAAATATAAACGAGCCGAACACGACTCATGTTCGTTTACACCCCTATATGTAAATACCCCTACTAATAATTATAAAAATATTATACTTTGGTCAGCGAAATTGAGCTACTGAAATAAGTACAAATGAGAGTAATGGCTCAATGAAAGCAGGAAATAAAAAATAAAAGAAAAATTACATGCTGAGCACTTGAAGCTTGGCTATTTATAAAGTAGCACCTCCCTATCTCTAATTGTGAGATTGTCATCTAAATATCAAAATCAACAACCAAACCCTAATCAAATTTTTTTTCATTTTTCCAGATGCCCGATATATATAAATCCATATTTGACAGAGGCCTAAACATCAATTCCTCATACGCTAGCCTCCATGATGAGAGTCCGCGTCATGTGCCTAAATATTCGAGAATCCAACACCACTGGGCATCGAACCCGTGACCTGAAGGGACTTACAGTGAACCCCATTAACCAACAGGCCACGGCTTGCAACATATATATTTATTTATTAAAATAAAACAACGCAAAAATATGTAATATTTGAAAAAAAAAATCCACAGGAAATAAAAAGACTTTTATAACATTCTTCAATTGCGAAAAATCGAAATAATAGATGAGATTTAAATTTATTTTATTTTCAAAATTTTTATATTTTCCATATTTTAGATGGTATTTAGTTTTATTTCATGCTCTTAAATTTTGATCTTGCTTCTATTTATTTTTGGGACTTTTACATTTATACAACATAAATTTAACTTTTTAAAAATGATGTGTGTGTGTGTATTGATTTTAATGATTTGGTGGAAGCTTATGATATGAGCTTCCAGCCACCCTCATGTGCCTAATCATTCGATCCCGTACTGCAAGGCAGATGCACTCGATAGGATCAAACCCGTGACCCTAATGTCCTACTGGACTTACTTAAGGTTGCACTACCAAAAATAACGACGAGCAACACACACATATATACATACATACATACATACATACATACATACATACATACATACATACATACATATAGATACATACATATACATATATATACATACATACATAGATAGATACATATAGATAGATACATAGATAGATACATACATATAAATAGATACATAGATAGGTACATAGATATATACATATATACATATATAGTAACTTAGGTGTTAGACATATAAATAAATAAAAATTATGAGATAATGCATATAAATATTTATGCAAATCTCTCCCTTCTCTCTCTATGTCTGTTACGGAGCTTCGGGGAAAGACTAAGTATTGGGCTCAGAGAGAAGTATTGGGCTCAGAGAGAGAGAGAGAGAGAGAGATTCGTAGATATGGAAACACGTCTGATGATGGGCTTTGCGTGTGGGAGTTAGCATAGTTGTCGATAGACTTGTAGTAGACAGGTACGGCAGTAGCGGGGTAGGCTTTGGGAGTTGTTGCAGGCTTTCTCTCTTTCATAAATTTTTTTTTTTAGAGTTTTTAATTTGACAGCAGCTCTCAATTAATTATTAAGAAAATAATAAATAATTGGGTATAACTCCCAAGTGATATTCTTTCTATTAAATTAGAAATATTAATTTATATAATTTTTAGTTATGAACCAAACTACTGAATGTGTTATAAACTAATTACTCATTAAATAATTAAAATACCGATTATTAGAAGAACGTCTGATATGTATAACAAGACCATTGTTTTTTTGTATTTCGAATATGTTCCCTTATCTTAACTAATTTGTGAGGCAAGTCGAGTTCTTAGACAACATTAAACGAATTATATTTTTCAACACACCAGTAGCTAGGGCTGTCGAACAATTTATGTTCGGCTCGTTAAGAAGTTCGTGTTCGGCTCGTTCACTAAGTTAACGAGCCGAATACGAACAACACGAATAAAAAATTGTTCGTTTGTTTTTGGCTCGTTTTGCCTTGAAATACTATTAAAAAATTATATATATATATATATATATAGATGAGTACTATTTAAAAAAAAATTAATTGACTATAAGGCTAGAAAGATTTATAATGGATTAAAATTATCAATTAATAAAATAGAATAAAAAATATGAAATTAGATTCAAATAATGTTTTAATATAAACATAACTTTTTAAATTTTTCCCTAATGACTAACATCTTATGACTACGTGATTAGGGTAGTCAAAATGACTCTTTGTTCGTGAACGGCTCTTATTCGGCTCGTTAAGCAAACGAGCCGAACACGAACACACATTTTGAGCTTGAAATATAAATGAGCTGAACACGAGCGAGCCATTACACCCCTACCACTAGCGGACTTATTTCGCTATAATCTTGTTTTCAAAGGCTACAAGAAGAGCAATGCAGCTGAAATTTTCAAATAAAAATTTACATATATACCCCAAAATACTAACATATTTACATATAGATCTAATACCCAAATCTTAATATTTTTGCCCTTATAACACTTCAGTCACATCAATATCTCGGCATAAAAAGATGCATTTAGCTTTTAAGAAAAATATTTATATAAACTTTGATGATATTCTTTAGATGATGTTAAAACTTTGACTACGCTGCATGTAAATATGAATGGTTAAGTGATAGTTACATAAATACATAAGAATTACGTGGTATGTATGTAAATGCCCCAGTTTTAAATTTAAAAGGAACTTATGACAATTTTTAAATAAATTAACCAAAAATGCAATATGTACATTTAAACAAAAATGCAGGATACAAATGGTGAGTACTCTTTGAGAGCTTAAATCAGCTTACAGTCACAGATATAGATAGGAATCATAACAATTACTCTTCAAGCAAAGCCACAGACACAATCCTACAGAGTATATATGGCAATCAGAGTTCAATCTTCACTTTGACATCTCCATTAGCTAAAACATTCTGCATCTGAGCCAGACGTTTAGTTTCCTGTATTAAAATCAGAAAAGTATATATATATATTATAATAAAGACTCAATTGGTTGCATGAATGTTTTGAAAAACGACAAATTTTGACAAATCCAAGTTTTTTATCGGGCGAATTTAGAAAACCATTGATTAGTTTATTCCTTTTCTATTCTATGTTATTTTATTTTTTATTGTAGAATATTTTCCTTCTTAATTAAAATTAGATATATTTGATAAGTTTGTAAATGAGGAGGGATTCTTTATCCTATATACATATATACACATACATAAATAAATAAATAAATAAATAAATATATATATATAAACGAAATAAAGTCTATTGAAATTCGTTTCACCCGTTTACAATCATTTATCTGGAAAGAATCTTAGATGCGAATAATAAGAACTCAAAGAAACTCTCCAAATCTGTTTTCTACATAATTCCTATTAGAGAGGAGTCAGGAAAGGGGACTGCAAGGATTTCCAGCAAAGAGGAGGCCCAACAGCGGGAGAGAGATAAGTTCTACAGCAAAAACTCCTAGCTGCAGGCCCTCCTCCGGCCATAACTTTTTCCAAGCGAACTGGGAATTTTGACCCTTGTGGATATCACTTTCTCTGCATTGTGGAAATCATTTTCTGTCATTGATGGAAACAACTCTCTCACTAATGGAAATCATTGTCGTTGGATTTTCTTTGTTGTTCTCGGACAGCTTCCATGAATTTCCTCCCAGCAGCAAAACAGAAACGGGACCACCGATAGCAGCAAGCAGCTCTCTCTGCTGGAGTCAACTAGAAACAACCTTAAAAGACACATGAGGTTATTCACCAAGTATGGGATGAATACTTCAAGTTATATTCTGGATGTTAACTTCTAATGAAAGACCAGTGATTCTATCCCGACAATTTCCAAATTCTCTAACTTACTCATAAATCATAAACTCAATGGTCATAATTATCTTCCATGGTCCTAATCCGTATTTATGTACATTGGTGATAAAGGGAAATAGGAACATCTCACGAGAGAAGCACGGTTCTTGAGATCACTGACCCCAACCACAACACATGGAGGAATCAAAATCATAAACTCAATGGTCATAATTATCTTCAATGGTCCCAATCCGTATTTATGTACATTGGTGATAAAGAAAAATAGGAACATCTCACGAGAGAAGCACGGTTATTGAGATCACTGACCCCAACCACAACAAATGGAGGAATCAAAATCATAGTTATGTCTAGGCTAGTCAATTTAATGACCACTGAAGCGGGATAAAATTTTTTGCTCTATAAAACTGTCATAAAAAAAAAATCTGGGAGGCAGCAAAAGAAACATATTCCAGCACTGAAAAACACTACATAGTCATTTGAGATCAAAACCAAGTTTCATGAACTTCATCAAGGAGAGTTGAGTGTCACCCAATACTTCAACATCTTGACAAAATATTGGTTATAATTTGATATGTTTGAGATACATGTGTGGAAATATCCACATGATGTTGTGATGTTTAAATCTATTATCGAGAAAAATAGAACCGTCACATTCCAAGTAAGACTAACTCAAGAATTAGATAAGGTGAGAGGGAGGATCGTGGGAACAAAGCCCCTTCCACCTACCCGCAAAGCCTTTGTTGAAGTTAGGATAGAAGAGAACAAAAAAAAAAAACAGATACTGACCGGAAATGGGGGTTCACCAAATACTGAATGCTCGACCCTGTACACTCATAATTCCTCTAATGATTTAAAGCACAAGAAGAGTTGTCCCACATGTGACTATTGCAAGAAAATTGGGCATGTCAAGGACATGCTAAAAAAGTCACGGAAAACCTACAGACTAGAAATTTAGACAAGAAAAGTCAAGACAAAATGGCTAATGCTGCTACCAAACCTGAAGGATTGGTTGAACCAGTGACCAAAAAATAGCTTGAAGTACTAAAAAAAACTCTTTGGAGGTATTTCAAAGCAGCACACCAACCTCATGACACACCAACGTAATATATCATTCTCTTGCCAGTAATGGGAGATTTAGAATACGAATCATAGATTTTGGAGCCTCTTATCATATGATCAGAGACATGAATGCTATAATTAACTATCAAAAGGCTTCTACATCTAAATTGGTGAGACTTACAGACGGATCACATATAGACATTGATGAGAAAAGAAATGAAGAGCTCGCTTATGATATCACTTTTTCCTCTGTTATATATGTTCCACAATTGGACTGTAATTTAATTTCAATCAGTAAGCTTACTCATATGATATGAAATATATAACTAAATTTATTACAACTCTTGTGAATTTCAGATGATGGAGTCGGGGAAGATGATTGACAGTTATGAAATGCATCAAAGCTTATACCCGCTCAACAAAATTCCTCTAAACATAAAAATAATCTCACCCCATATTTACCTCAAATTTTTGAGTGTTGAGTCAATGTCTGCCAAAAATCGAGTTTTGTTATGGCATTATCGTCTGAGTTATCTTAATTTTAATTATATTGTTAAGTTGTATCATCATTATTTTATTAATAAAAAATCTAATTTTTTTCAATGTGAAATTTGCCAAAACTTGCTAGACACACTATAAATCAATATTATTGATGAACAGACCTCACACCTTTTTTTCATTATCCACAGTGATATTTGAGGCCAAATGATTTCACTTATTGACAATCACACTTGAACTACTTGGGTATTCATAATAGAGGAAAGTCTAAAACACAAATCTTCCATGTCGTAATTCAAACTCAATTCTAATGCAAAATTCAAATCCTCAAAAGTGATAATGCAAAAAAATATTTCAATCTATCCTTAGGTCCTATCTTTCGAAAAATTGAATCATCCATGTGAATTCATGATTGATACCCCAAAACAAAATAGGACAACTGAGAGAAAGAATAAACATCTTCTCAAAGTATCCTACTCAATTATGATGCCCGATCAAGTTCTAAAATACTTCTAGGGAGAATGAGTTCTTACTGTAACATATCTTATCAATCGAATGCCTAGTCGGGTACTTAACGTTAAAACACATTTTTATGTTTTGATGATTACCTATCCACACATCAAAGCTTTATCTTCTATTATACCACTTAAAATCTTTGGGTGTCTATCATTTGTTTAGGTCCATTCTCAAAATTGTACAACCTGACTATAAATCTATCAAGTGTATTTTTTCTTGGGTATGTCACCAATAAAAAGGAGTGTAAGTGCCACTCTTTAGTTACCAGAAAATACTATAATTTTATGGATGTTAAATTTTTCGAAAATCAATCTTACTATCAAATTTGATGCTCATGAGAAGAGTACAAATGAACATCAATTTTGGGATGCACTTGATGACATCTACACAGCTTCGCCACCTGCTCAACCTAACCCTCCCATCTTGATTGAGGATGCGCAAACAACCCAATCTGATGTTCAGAACAAAAAAATTTATGTGTACACGAGGAAGAAAAACCTTGAGCAGGTGGAAGACAACTTGCAAGGACATAAAACTACTCAAACCAAAACTCAAGTTCACATTCACCTAAAATTTCAGGTAAGCAGTAGTCTAGTACTCTTGAGTTATCTCCTTCCCCTTCTGATGCCATTGACAAGAAAAGTTACATTAGACATCCAATTCAGGAGTATATAGCTTATAAGAAGCTATTCTTATCATACGAAATTTTTATTTCTAACCTTGATAGTATGCAAATTCCTAAATTCATTCATGAAGCTCTTCGAAATCAAAAATAAAGATAAACAATTGAAGGGGAGATTCGAGTAGGGTACATGGATTCTTACTAAACTCCCCCAGGAAACACATTGGATGTGAATGGGTGTTCAACATCAAATACAAAACTGATAGGGGTATTGAGAGATTCAAAGTCAAGCTTGTTGCAAAAGGTATTACTTAAGCCTATAGAATAGACTACCAGAAGATTTTCACACCGGTTGACAAACTTAACACTATTAGAGTTCTCATTTTAGTAGCAACTAACATGGTATTAAGATGGCATTAACTTAACATAATAATAACTTTCCTAAATGAAGATCTGGAAGAAGAAAGGTCTATGGAGATACCACTAGGACTTGAGAATGATTCTAACAAACACCTAATATGCAAACAAAAGAAGTCTCTCTATAGGTTTAAGCAATCACTTGGAGCGTGGTTTGAAAGGTTTACTAAAAATATGAGATCTAATGGGTTAAGTTGATCATACTTTGTTTGTAAAACACATTCAGAAAGGTAAAATTGATGCACTGATAGTATATACAAATGATATGATTCTTGTTGGTGATGAAGAAAAAAAATTCTCAAGATCAAAGAAGTGCTTGCCATGGAGTTTGAAATAAAGAACCATGGACCATGAGATATTTTTAGGTATGGAGGTTGCAAAGTCCAAGAAAGACATCGTTATATCACATAGGAAATAAATCATAGATCTACTAAATGAGATATGGGTGAATGGATGTATACTTGTTAATACTCTAATGGATCTCAACCAAAAGTCAATGAACGCAGAAGAAAGCGTCTCTGTAGATAAAGAAAGATTTCAAAGATTGGTAAGAAAACTCATCAACCTGTCATATACAAGGTCAGATATTGCATACTCTGTCAGTATTGTGAGCCAACATATGAATAACCCAAATGAAGGCATTTGAAAATGGTGTATAAAATTCAAAAGTTTCTCAAGAAGACTCCTGGGTATAGATTAATTTTTGAGAACATAAAAACAGAGAGATGAAAGTCTACACTGATGCTAGTTGGGCTGAGGTACTCACTTGGAAGATCCACCTCACAAGTTACTGCTCCTATGCATGGAAAGATATAGTGACAAGGAAAAGTAAGAAGCAAGTGGTTGTTTCTAAAAACAGTGGATAATCAAAATATAGGGCACTCGTCTTAGGAATCTATGAAGGGATTTAGACTTGTAAATTATCAAGGAAACTGAGATCTACCTCTAATAGGCCTATACAAATTTTTTGTGTCAGTCAAGCAGCAATATGTATTGTCAAGAATCATATGCATCATGTCAG